GTAGAGCCTGTTGCCACTCCACGTCCGCTGGTTTGTTGTCAAGACCTTCAAACTGAGGCAATAAAAAATGCGCATTGTATTAATATTTTTATTTTACTATTATTATTATTTTGTTTTTGCACTTTAATAGCTCTTTCACTCACATCGTTATTCTCGTTCACAGCCATTAAGCTCAAATTATCCTTAAGTGTCTCATAGCAAAGCTGCTCCAATTCTCGATGACCCTCCCCGCGTCGACATAGACCCGCCGCCTTATTCAACGGCTCATCGGCGAAGAAATTGGTACTTAAATGTGCAACGACATCGTCGAAACGGTCCTCAGTTATTAATTTGTATTCCATAATGCTTAGCGGAATAATGGGTTTCCGTGTGCTAGAGGATGGAGGCGGTTTATTGTGGCGACGCACGTGAAGGCGCTGTGGCACTTTGAGTCGGAAAATAAGAACTGCAATCGAAAGTGAATTAAATGTGTGAATTACTAGCAACAACGTGCATGCATACAAACATATGTATGTATGTTATATTTGTGTATTAAACACTTTATTGGCGTTGGGATTATTCGCTAATTATTTGCAATTATATTGGGTTGTATAAATAGCGCCTGACGAATAAGTGTTAATTACTATTTATTAGATATGCATAGATCTATATATACACATATCGACAAACATATGACTTTTGCATATATGTATGTACATATAATACATATGTATATTTGTATGAGAATATGCGTTAATCGTCATCTACCTCCGGTTGCTGTTGCAGTCCGTGTCTGCGTCGCCAATTCTGTGTTGATGGTATTCAATTAAAACTGTCGCAATAAAATTTTCAATTTACAAACGAACACATTAAGAAATTATAAAGTGCAGACAAAGCGGCGACTGAATGGAGGTACATAAATACATACATACAAATGTGCAAAAACACCATACATAGGGTAAGGAGAGCAAAAGAATATAAAAAATAAATAAATAAAAACATATATGAAAATAAATTAAGAGAAAAGCTACAAATAAAAATACCTTTATCTGACTTTTAAACAGTCAGATTGTATGAAAGCTACATATGTATGTATGTATATACTATTTCTTTGGAAATTGCAACGTTGCCTTAGACAATAGTTCTTGCTGAATTTCGTGAAAATATCTCCTTTCATAAAAGTTTTCAATAAAGCTATATTCTACAGTGGTTCGTTATCAACACGGTTTCGAAAAATTAGCACCTTCTTTCGGAGAAAAGGATGTACGGAAAATTTCAGATCGATATTCCAAAAACTGAGGAAATCCCTGCTCAGTGTATAAAAATAAATAAATGAGAAATAAAGTGTAGGCTATACTATATTTTAAGCATTTATAGTGTAAAATTTTTGTATAAAAAAATGTTATTTTATTA